ATTGCGATACATATTGATATTGAATTATTGTCCAGCCCTAGTACATAGAACACATTATAATCAATGATACTGTCTACACTGGACGCGGCGTGACACGACGAGTCACCGGCGGTAAACAGATGACCCGTTCTACTTCTGGAGTACACCACAGCAGCATAGTACACACGGCACAAAACAACATGTTTAATACCAAACATGACCCTTTCCATAATGCGTCTGTATCCAACTTTGTGTTGTTCCCCTAACAGAGAGCGCCGTTTCTCTAAGGATTTGTAATTTTGAAAGGCACGTAACATATAATACTGTGGCTTGGCTTGATACACAGTCTAACGAACTGCAAATCTTAAACATGTTTTACTGTACTAGTTTTAATGGACTTCCTCTCTCAGCCAATGCAGATGAATGAGCAAAGTTCTTTCAGGGCGAGAACACCCTGATTGTAAAACAAAATGTGATCGGTTATAGCGAGAACATGCTACGATTGGTCAGCGACGAGCGGCTGTTATCTGATTGGCTTGAGCAGACGGTGGGTGGAGTCCACCTATTTATGGATTTGTCAGCATGTCTTGATGCTAGAAATGTTTCAAAATCCAAAAACGCACAGAAAGCCATTCACAAATGAATGCCAGGCAGAGTTGTGTTTGTGACGTAAAATAGGTATTTGTGGATATGCTTTTTAATTTGCAAATCTCATTTTATTATTTTTGAATTTCATTTATTTTTGTGAAACTCTAGCATGTATTTGTGGATCTCACTCTATTTATCTGTAAATATGTTTTTGTGAATCTCTTTACATTTATTTGTGAATCATAATCTATTTATTTGGAATAAAGGAACAAACATAATCTCATAGGCGATATTGTCCTGATGCCATTTGAGGCCACTGCAAGTTCCTCAGAGAAAGTTTCTCTCACCGTGACACGTGCTGACCGCAAAGCCGATGCGTTTGTGCTCTCGGTCGAACACCACATAGAAGCCCTCCATGATGACGGCACCCATTACCGTCCCAGTGCTCGACTGAGACACAGCGAATTTGTAACAGTCCTCCTGAGC